TTCAATCTGTTCTTCCTTTTCAATTTCCATTATTTTTTATTCAATTTCAGAGAGTGGCATACCATCTGCTTGTAATTTCCTTTGCTGAATTTGTTGCAATCTTTTGAGAATGATGTTAAAGATAGGCTTACTCTGGGCTTTCTGGAAACGCATGAGAAGGGATTCATTCATAATTTGTAAAATATGGGGCACTTCTAAATTAATGGGTTGAACGCTTTGCAAGTCCATATGGCCCACATAACTGGAAGGAAGCAGATACCCTGGTGCGTGGGCGCTACAAGGAGCTGGAATAGAGAGGACACCTGAAAATTTTAGCTCATGCTCTTCTGTATTATGTGCTGTGTGACTTCGATCTGGGATTGGACATTGTACTGTCAGACGAAGTGGTGTCGGTGAGACGTAAAACCAAATTCCTTCATTACTGAGACGGAAAAACTGGGGTTCCGTATGATGCAAAGTTTGTTTCTCACATGAATTGGGATTCGTGAAATTTAGAAAGAGCTCATAAGCACATGTAGTAGCCGGACTACTGAGAATAGCTGATCACGGTTGACACGACAAGAGGAGCTGATAGACACTGGGAGAGATCCTGATTACTAAGTTCAAGAAATTTCTGTCTATCATTGCTGATGGCCAAAAAGTCTGCCTTTGGGTTCCAAATCATAGCCAATGGAGTTCCTTGAATTCTCATGGGAATCGGGATAATTTGGAACAGATTGTAACTCCGGTCGAAGGCCTTCAAAGGTATTGTCAGGAACATTCGAAGTTGATTGGCAACAGCCATAGTCCTAAGATCGGCCCAATGATAATATATGAAGATGGAGTCGGGACTGAGTGGAACTGCAAGGGTGTGATCTGTTGGGAGCTTCAGTGAGATGTTTTGAAGGGTTTGGAAGAGTTGGTTTGGGGTAATTAAGTATGGACTCAGTCTACGCTGGGCTTGCCAAAAGGACGTGACCTCAATTTTTAATTCTAAAAGGGCAACATTGACTCTACGAAGTGAGATTTGAATGTGTCCAACCGAAACAAGAGATCTCCATAAAGACCAGGATGCATTGTGGAGCTGTTGCTTTAGAGCATATGTTTCACCGGCCAGATTTCGCATGGTCTCAACGATTAATTTAATGTCATCCCTGTTCTTCTGTATGTTAATTGCCGAAATGTTCAGTACATTTGCCTGCTTCTGCAACAAATGCAACACGACTGTCCTCTCAACCTGGAGCCCATCCACTATACTACTGAGTTTCTCTAAATCCATGTCAGTCGCCACTCCAAATAGCCATTTGAGGGCTTTACCTCCAACGTCAATGAGTCCTCTCCTATTTCTAGGTTTCCAGTTCTGCACTTGCCATGTCTTCTGAAGGTTACCAATTTCATCGACGGCACTGACTTATTGTAGTTGACGAATGTACTCAAGGAGTTCAAGCGCTCTTGACTTTAGATGAACAGCTTCTTCCAAATGATGCAGAATTGAATTGGGAAATCGCCTTCCTTCATTCCGATTGACGGGCGCATCTGTCTCTGTGATAGGATATGGGATAACTGTCGCTTGTAACCAACTAATAAATTTGGTTGTTTCCTCAATAATAGTCTGAGCAGTCCACCGGTAAGGCTCGAAGGTCAGATCAAACGTGAGGATCCAAGTGTCTCCCGTCATCAATACACTTCCTTTCTTAAGGAACAAAGCACCTTCCCCTTTTTGGATTTCCAAAATGTCCCCAGACCCCCATTCTGCAATGCTCATGATAGGTTTCAACGTGGTTATTTGCCACAGAACACACATACAGTATATGCAATGAAGTTATCCATCTGTAATTAGATATTTACCAAAGTCTATGGAGTATTATGTAACTCCTATAGCCCTACTAATATATCTATGTACGTAATATACCTATCCTGTTCATTTTGACAAAACCTCAGCAAGCTGGAGAAGTTTGTCTAACATGGAATGGCCTGAAAAAGTCCCTTTTTCATCCGAAATTCCATCCTTTGGAATTGATTCTGTCACAACAGAGAAGTGTCAGGAGCGAAGGTCACCCTTTTAGTCGCTTTAACTTTAGCCCTTTCGGGGGGCGGAATCCAGTCTTCCTCCGGAACAGGTCCCTTGCTTCTGAGGACCCACGTCTTTTTCAGGGATGGTTTTCTTGTTGGCTTCATACTGGCCATGGGAGGACGGGCTGTTCTCTCCGTATCATCACCTTCTTCCTTGACTACAACGGGAGTATCTGCCTCTTCGGTTTCGGAAGTACTTTCTTCTTCGACGCTCATTTCTGTTTCTTCATCAGAAGTCGGATAAGGAAATAGAGGGAAATCAATTATCTCGTCTGTGTCCTCTTCAATTTGTTCCCAATTTCCTTCATCTCTCTCTTCGACTGGTTGATATGGGAAGGTCTCCATGTGATACCGTTTTAGGCGGTTTATATGGACCACAACGGCCTGAAAGGAACCGTCTCGTGAGACCTTAAAGGTCACTGGACCTAATTTCTCCAGGATACGATAGGGTCCTTTCCAAAGTCGAGCCAATTTGGTTGTTCCACCCGCTTTCACGCGTGGTACGTGCATTAGCACTAAGTCTCCCACCTGTAAAGTTGTCTTCTCTGACTTTCTATCATGGTACTTCTTTTGCCTTATCCCACTTTGCTTCAACTTTTCTTTGGCATTCGTAAATGCCTGATGTAATCTAGCGGCCATTTCCGCCTTGTAGTTTGTGTGAACATCGTACCTACCGCGCTGTGGTTTCACGATGCCATCAAAGGGTAGATTCGGATCTCTTCCATAGAGTAGATAGAAGGGTGTTTCACCAGTGGCCTGGTGCGGGACCGAACGATACGCGAAGAGTACAAAAGGAAGGTATTGATCCCAGTCCTGTTGTGACTCTTCTTCGACATAATGGGATATCATCGCCATTAGGGTGCCATTGAATCTCTCAACAACCCCATTAGTGGAGGGGTGATAGGGTGTAGTGTTCAGCTTCTTGATACCCAAATAGTCATAGATAGCCTTCATCAGCTTGGACAAGAAATTCGTCCCTCTGTCAGTAAGGAGTTTTTCTGGTACTCCATGTTTTGTCACGATTCCAGTAGCAAAAATTCTCGCGACGGTCTCAGCTTTTTGATCCGTAAGGGAAAAGCTTCTACATACCGGGTGAGGTAATCAGTGAAGACCAACAAATATTTGTTGCCTTCATGAGATCGGGGCAAAGGACCGACAATGTCCATTGCCACGAGTTCAAAAGGGCGTTTAGCCAATTGGAAAAACTGCAGAGGAACTGGTTTTCGACCTGGAGGTGTTTTCTTTTCTTGGCAGGATCGACAATTTTTGACAATTCGGTGGACGTCCCGATTCATCTTGGGCCAGAAGAATTGAGTCTTAATTCTTCCCACTGTTTTGTGTATTCCCAAATATCCGGCTAAAGGTTGTTCATGATTTACACGAACGACATACTCAACCATGCTTCTTGGAATCACGAGTTGATCGAGAACTCGGCCGGATGATACTACACCCCTTTTTGAAAAGGAGGTCATCAATTAACATGAACTCGTCTGAGGCTTCATTCCCCTTTTCTATCTTCTCTATAAAGGGTCCCCACTTGGGATCATCTCTTTGTTCCGCTCTAATCCGCTGTTTGTCATAAAAAGGTTGGAACTCAACTTGTGCTTCTCCTTCAACAGTGTGAATTTCATTCAAGTAACTAGATTCGTCCCTTTCAAACGGTTGTGCCTGTCCTGGGATTTTGATTCGCGAAAGCGCATCCACGTTGGTATGTTTCCTGCCGGGACGGTGAATGACTTCATACTGATAATCTTGTAGGAGTACGGACCATCGTGCTAATTGGGAACTTGGATCTTTCAAGTTCATTAGCCACCTAAGAGGGGCATGATCCGTAACTAGGAGGAATTTCCTGCCGTATAGATAGCAACGAAAGGTTTTCAGCGCTGCATCATTGCCAAAAGTTCCTTTTGGATTGTGGAATACTTTTGCCCAGTTTCATTGAGCTGTCGACTATAATAAGCCGTCGAAGAGAAGGCCGTCGCCGCCGTTTTCTCCTGGGGGTCCATCTCTCAAGATGCAAAAATTCGGAATGGCGGAATGACGCCATCTTTCATCACGGCTTGCTTCGGGTTTTCTACATTTAAGCGGTCAATAGAACGTTGGGAATACCAAAAATGAAGTGTTCAATGATCGTGCATTTAACGTTCGGGTGCGACTTGGGATAAGTCTCTGAAGTCTCTGAAGGTCATGGTGGACAAAAGACAAAGGACTTTTGTCCTTCAAGGACAAAAGAGAACTTTGTTTCCTCCAGTTTGCAGCGGGATTACCTGCTACTAGTAATTATTTTAAATAATATGCATAATAAGTGGAAATGGTTTGCGCAATGGATGTAAATGACGTACGCACTAAATATAGAATTTTAGCAGCGTATTAGGAATATATTTTTCATGCACAGATCCAGAGCCCTGAGGCTCCTATCTGTGGCTCCCCAATTTACCTAATGGACCTCCATTAGAAAGAATTGTCCCCGGTCTCGTGAATGGTTTCAGGGCACTCTTCCTGTCTCCGAATTGAAAGCAATGTTTGGTTTGAAATAATATAATTCCGTACCTGAAGTAGGCATAGTACTCTTTTTTTAATGCTCGTCATAATTTCGGAATTAGGGGATAGTTTCAAGTTTCGCACTTCGCAATTTCTTCTCCTCATGTGTAAAGCTCGCCTTCAGTCCCTGCAGGCTTGTATCCTGTTTCCGGCGGATTGCCTGCAAGCTATAAATGGGTTCCTGGAGGTCCAGATAGGTTGTCTGAAGTTTTAGGCAATTCTGAACTATTCACCGGAATTCCTTGGCAATCGAATTTTACTTGGAACTAACTTTGCCTTGACTGCTCAACATTTTCAGGCAAAAACACATTTTAATTTCAAGAATAAACTTCCTATGTATTCATTTAGTTGAGACACCAATTACATCTCCAATCATTAAAAAAAAAATCGTATATGTTCCGGAACAGCAAGAACCAGGTCGAGACGGAAAGAAAATCATAAACGGGGTGGTACACGTCCGCCCCGGCGGAGGATTCGTGCCGAACTTCATCCTCTTCCGCAAAGTGGAGGTGAACGGGAATGGGACCATCCCCCTCTACTCATATCTCAAAGTGAGTCTGCTTCCGCTCACCCCCTAACCGTCCACCCACGCCATCCCCCCCCCCCAACATCCACCCTACCCCAGCCACCCTCCATCCTTCATTAGGGTAAAAGACCCAGTGACCAAGACCCAGGGCCTGTTATGCGGGTACTCAGTGATGGGCCACTTCGCAGGAAGATTCCAAAAATTAGGCATTTGTTCCATGACCACCTCTGAAGTGTCTGTGTGCTTGAATGCCGCTAGCCCATGTCATAACACGGGTAGGCATGCCATGGAAGCTTAGCTATTGGAATTTTTATGTGCTATGGCCCATCACTGGGGACCGATCCATCACTGGTTTTTTTAATTACCATATCTAGTGCTTTACTGCGGGGACTCTATATGAAGGGGAGTCATCGTGTAGCTTCGACCCTGTCCTTCGCTGTCAGGAACGAAGGAAGCGTCAAAACACAGTAGATAGCGGGAGCAAAGTACAATTATTATAAGGAATGTGGTCATTGAGAAAAGATGGAGTCAGTTCTGCGCTTGGAGTTAACATTGCCTGACAGCGAGAGTCTTTCTTCGAGTAAGCATGAGACATCTCAATACGATGAACAAGTGAGAATTTAACATGCAATTATTGCCAAATGCACCTATTCCAGGGACTCCATAAGGAAACGTACCTCTTGAGTCCTTCTTCTTCATGCTCATTCAAAGAATATGGAGAGGAAATTTCTCTTTACATGTAGTAGACACTATCTATTCCTCAGCGTTCGTCGTGAGTTCAAAACTAAATCACATTGGAAATTCAGGGAAGTTAGGCAAGGCTGACGAAAACCTTGTTAATGAAACTGATGCCAAGTGAATATTTAACTAGCCAGGAAATTAAAATATACAAATTTGGGTGCGCTTCTGCTATTTTCCTAAAGCTGTCGAGTGTTCCCGCAAACGCCTGTTATAATACATGGTAATACCACTTTCCCCTCCAGAGCGTGTGCCCGACGACGGTGAGCGCATTCCGCGAGAAGGCCCGCCTCTTCTACGATCCGCTAGACAGCGACGACATCCGCTGGAACTTCGAGAAGTTCCTCGTCGACCGCGACGGGAAGCCCTACAAGCGGGTGCATCCCCAGCAGCTGCCGGAGACGCTGTACGACGACGTCGCGAGGCTGGCGAGTAAGAGGGCCCGCCCTCAGGGAGCCCACCCTCAGGGAGTCCGCCCTCATGGAGCTCGCCCTCAGGGAGCCCGCCCTCAGAGCAGCTCCACCGGATTTGGCGAATTTCGATTGTTCGGATCCCCGGGGCGATTTCCGTCCAACTTCTAAGAAGAAGACTTCAAAAAGAAGAATCCAAAAAGAAAGACCTAAAAGAAGAATCCGATAAGTGGATAACTCACAGATAGGGAAAAAATCAACGTAGCGGTTAACGCAGATCCTCACTACCCGCTTCAAGAGATTCCATCAACATTTATCCTTTAAATTAAAAGCTAGAGACGGAGGAAAGCCCGCAGTCTTCTTTAAGCACGTCACAATTTAGGTTGTCAAACGATCATTTCTGCTCCAATAGAAAATGTGAAGTCTTAAAACAGCTGGAAACTAGTGCCCATCGAACCTCAAATAAAATATATATACGATTTGTTTCAAATAAATGATAAACATGACAGACGATAATAGCTTAAATATGAGCAGATTTTGCAGGTTTCTGCCTCATTGACTAATCACCAATCAAATTAGTCCATTCATCTAAGAGAGAAAAAATTGCATATAAGACAACTTAATTTATACATATATACGTTCGGTACATATTTTATTATGATCTGGTATGTATCATTGTCACTGCCGAGGCTTATCTGCAGGGAGAAAATCATCGTTTGACACCATGAATGTCCCTCACGAGCGATGAATTCGCTGGAATCTGCAATAACGAGAAGGAATTTCGGGGGAAGCCGATGAAAAGAATGACGGAACGTTCGGAAAACTCCTCCGGAGTCGAAACGTCCCCGAGGCGACGGCGCGGGGGAGGGGATGCCCTTTTCATTCGTGCGTTCAGGTCCTTTCCTCTGCGCCGGGGTGTTTCGTCGGCTTTTCGCGGGATTCCGTCCAATCCAACTGTCTTTCATCCGATCGTGGCATTCCTTTTTTTTTAAAGTAAATTTGTCGAAGGTGTGCGTGTTGGTGAATTTCGTTTCTGTTCGCTGGATGACGATTGATGGAGAAAAAATAAAACTTGATGGAAAAGAATGAACGGTTCGACGCAGTTGGGAAGGCCAAGTCCAGGCCTCATGTCTCACTTATCGTTGATCGTGTTCGGAATCTGTCTCGTTTGCATTGCGCACGCGGGAACTCTCGGCCTCGGTATTTGGTATTTGGGAGAGATCGACATTAATATGACTCACGCGAGATTCGCTTCCTCGTACGATTATATGTTTTAGGCCATTTTTCAGCAGTTTATCGACGTTTTTATGACACGATACGGAAATTACTTCATTCCACTTATGTCTCCGTAAGGGCCCAGAGGGACAGAATTTCGATGCAATCCGGCAAACAAGAACGTGCACAGCAGGCATAAAATTTCAGTCGCGTAGATAGTGACGGTTCCAAGGGGCAGGGGTTGTGGCGACCCCCCACCCCCCCCCCCTCCAATCCCTTCCATTGGGAGGCGTTCCAGCTCAAGTGGTGAAATTTTAGTCACATTCGTTGGGCTTCAGACTCCGATTTGCTTGAAAAAATTATTGCATGCTGCCAATCAAGACTAATGAAAAAATTCCAGAATTTTGGCTCTCTGGTTCTAACGGATTTCCAGACATACTGCCCCAAAACATCGCCCCCTAGAGGAAATGTGGCCTTTAGGGTTAACGCGCTATCTTCGGTCCTATTCGAGCTAGAGACGCGTTTTTGGACTCTAAGTAAAGCTGAGACCACGTAGAATCGCATCATTAAATTAATTTTTTACAGCCTTTATTAGAAACAGAGTTATGCAATTTTCAAAATGGTAAATATTGCAGAATTTTGCACGCAAATTATTAGCACTATGATACATTGTAACGCCACGACCTTTCGTAACATTGCAGACTAAGGCAATAGAAATTTAAGAACTAAGTTTCAACTTCCTTTGAAACAACTTAAAATTAAATTCGAAAAGTCCAAAATTGCCTATTTCCACCAATTTTGGCGGTTCGTACTTCCTGTTTTAAACATTATATGAACTTGTAACTAGTGTCAAATGAAAGCACTCTCCAAGCGCTTTTCAGTGATATATTACTCTTGCTGTTACGTTTACTTTTCATGCCTGTGTATTTTTTTTGAAAATTTGAATTCTACAAATTCCCAAACGAAAGGTGTGACTGAAATTACAGGGATGGGAGTCTTGCTTAAGAAATCGGACTAATACATATCTCACATTTGACTCATAAACATCTCTCCTTGATTATATGCTTGCATTAATCAATAAAATATCAATATTCAACACATTAATGGATTTCCAAACGCAACAATTTAGTCGTTATCTTTAACGCCTGCATGCATGTACATTTCAGAAACACAGGCATGAAAAGTAAACGTAACAACAAGAGTAATATATCAATGGAAAGCGCTTGGAGAAAATTTTCATTTGACACTAGTTACAAGTGTATATCATGTTTAAAACAGGAAGTACGAACCGCCAAAGTTGGTGAAAATAGGCAATTTTGGACTTTTCGAATTTGATTTTAAGTTGTTTAAAAAAACATAGGATGTTGAAACTTAGTTCTTAAATTGCCATTGCCTTAGTCTACAATTTTACGAAAGGTCATGGTGTTACAGTGCATCTTAGTGCTAATAATTTGCGTGCAAATTTCTGCAATATTTACCATTTTGGAAATTGCATAAATCAATTTCAAGTAAACGCTGTAGAAAATGCATTTAATGATGCGATTCTACGTGGTCTTAGCTTTACTTAGACTCCAAAAACGCGTCTCTAGCTCGAATAGGACCAAAGATAGCGCTTTAACCCTAAAGGTCGCTTTTCCTCTAGGGGGCGAAGTTTTGGGGCCGCACATCTCGAGATCCGTTAGAACCAGAGAGCCCAAATTTTGGATTTTTTCATAAGTCTTGATTGCCAGCATGCAATAATTTTTTTTTCAAGCAAATCGGAGTCTGAAGCGCAACCACCCCTTGATCACTTGAGCCCCATGGCCTCATGGCCATGTACGCATGCATTGCCTTTAAATTCTTCCTTGCTTTGGTAAGGGCAATCGACTATTTTTCGAATATTTCAGGATCTTAATTTCAAAATTTTCTGAATAAGAGCACATAGACTTGTATTTCCTGTATTTTATGAATAATTTTCCTGTAATTCCTAGAAAATTTCCCTTTATTATCTTTGCGGAACATTTTTCTCTGTCCTCGTGAAACATTACTGCTAAGGAACCGAAGTTTAAAATCCGAACTTCTCCTTCGCATCGGAAAAAGTCTGTTTCAAATATTCCCGCAAAAAATCCTCACAATCTCAACGCACCTTCCGGTATTGACACCTTTGAGGAAACTACCCGACACCTATAGTTTCTAGTCCGTATGGTAGAGGTCTCCCAAGAGCCCCCTAAATCTCCTTAGTCCGTGACATCAAGATGCCTCGGATAGAGCAAAAAGGATTCTCAAGGACAAAGGTCTTCTCATGTGTATTTCCCTGTCGGAAACTTGGGAAATGAAGAGCGCGACAGCTTCTTCTCCCTGTCGCGAATCGAAATGCTCTGAAACGATGCGATTCCCGCTTCATGTCTATCGGCTACATTTCCTGGGTGCCGGCGGTCCACACCTCTGTAGGGAGGAAAGGGATGGAGAGGAATGTAGATAATCTCATGCCATTACGCTCAGTGGTTGAGCTTCTCGTCGAAAGCAGCGAGGAAGACGCTCGAAATGATCGTGATTGAATTTTTCTTGAAGTTTTATTTCAAAAAGGATTCTCCAATAACTCGGGGATTTATTACGGCAGGTCACGAAATGATGATGAAGTTCGACCTTTCATGGAGTATTCCGAATAAGAAGTGAAATTTTCTAGGAATGGGCGCAATTAACGAATCCCCTAGTGATGCACAAAATAAATTTACTTAAAGAAAAGCGAACTCCCATGAGAATTTGGAATTTTCGGGATGAGGAGGAGAAACTCCTCTTGCTTGAACATGTCGGAGGGATGGATTCTGAGATTATCTCGGATGTGAGAGCATGTTTAGTCGGTAATTAGGAGATAAACTTTCTGCTAAGAAGCGGAATTCCTTTTTCTACACCTTCAATGAGAGCATTTCTTATGCTATATTCGGAACTTTCTGATAATTTTTTTGCACTGCGGAAAGTGTCCTTCGTTCATTCTACGTTCATGAGACACTCTATGAGAGACTCGTCCTTGAAGGCGACACGCCCGGCCAAGGGCAAAGACTGGCCTCATGAAATATTGATGAGCCCGGAGACGACAGGGAAGAGATTCCATGTCGCCCCGAAGCGCCATTCCCTCGCCGCGCAAGCGAAGATGGACGCAAACCCCATGTTCCTTCCCTTCCTTCTCACCGCCCTCCCTTTTCCATTTTCCGGCTTCGGGTTCGCCGGTGAGTCCGATTCATAAGACTATTTCATCCTCATACTTGCTCAGTGCTTTCTTCCATCGTTCGATGAAGCCAGTCATCTAAAATGCAAAAAATAATTTCGGAAAATTCCAAGAGCGCAATAAGCAGAGTTTCCGTCCACTACGCAGAAAGGGAATTCGCATTAGAGCGGAAACCATATCTCCCATTCTCTCATTTTGAAANCTTTCTTCCATCGTTCGATGAAGCCAGTCATCTAAAATGCAAAAAATAATTTCGGAAAATTCCAAGAGCGCAATAAGCAGAGTTTCCGTCCACTACGCAGAAAGGGAATTCGCATTAGAGCGGAAACCATATCTCCCATTCTCTCATTTTGAAATGATCTTCTTGTCGGAATCGATTTTTTTTTAATTTAATCGATTTATTTTTCGTTAAAGTTGGAAATATTTCCCCTCCTCCTAAGGGATTTTCCGTCAAATTCGGGGATCACTCAATGGCGTTCTTTACTCGAAGATGCCTGGGTTCCCTCGTGAATCCGTCTTACTTTAATGCATTTCTCTCACGGAAAGGCTTAATTTGCGTGAACCTATTCCATGCATTCCTTCGGACGATTATGATTTTAAAATAGAAGGACTCTCTGTTGCGGTGCTCCAGTTAAACATATAGCGTGCGCAATCGTAGCAGCTACCTAGACCGAGCGACAAAATATATGTTTGTGTGTTACAGTGCCACAGGCCAAACGGTTCGAGGTATGAACTTGGGGTTTTCGTATGAATGCAGTAAATCGAAAACATTGTTCATAGACTTTCCCTTTCTTCAACCCTTCCCTTCCCTTCTGAATGGGGCTCGCTGACGTCAGGCCCGGGCCAAACATCGGACTGTCGTCAGGTCAGGCCTGGGTCTACTTTTTCGCGAAAAAGAATCTCACTCCTCGAAATAAGCTGCCAATTAGGCCCTTTAATGATCAGTCCGTGGTCTTCGAGACATCTCGTCGGACGCGTGACGTTAGGCTTATCGTAGCCCGTTCGGCACAGCAAAGTTGTGTCGACATTGAGCAAAGGTTGATTTCCCAGCGTTAAAATGTTGCCCCAATGATGAAACATTGCTGAAAAATGAAACACGGAAACACACCTCTCACATGTGACGCAGCATGCGATCGGGGGTGATTTTTCCGTTAGGGGTCCATATATTAAAATATAGGGATCTTGACGTACGCCGAAGCATTCGTGAATCTGACAACTCCGGCACGATATCGAATGAAACGGAGGGACGGACAAGAGGCAGCACTTTAAGCCAAATTAACGACAGTTAATATAATTGTTTATGGGAAAATGGTGCATCGCAAACAAAAAAGGGCACTTTTCGTCACCTACAAGTCTTTGTCTTTCTCGTGGGTGGTCTCTTTCCTGCGAAAACACCCCAGGAGTGCTATCCAAGGGGGGTGGAGTGTGGTGGGGTGGGGGTGGTGGTGAGGGTGGGGGTGGGAGTGGGTGGTGGGGTGGGGAAAGAAAAAACAACGCGGAATGAAATTTCCAACTTAAAAAAAGCGAGATTGAGTGTTTCCCACAAACCTCGGGAGATGTAGCTTCACATTTGTGGTAAGGGAGGAGGAAACATGTATATCAACAAGGAACGAAGTTTAAATTTCGTCCTGCTGATGCTCTCAGAGAGGAATAGGATGTTGAATGTTATTATGGGAAGGTGTTGAAGAATGGTAGTGGGCGCTAACCCACCCAATGATCTTCCTCATCATCGGAGAAAGTGCCATTGATGGAATTTTGAGATAGGCCTCTCGAAAGGGGGGCAACCACCAGGGAAAATCGGAGTTTCGCACTCGTCTCGTCATGTCCTGGACGAGATGGACGAGACCAGAGTTGACGCGGGAGATGTTATGGAGCGGGGGTACATCGCTCACCGCGATGCCTCGCGCTTGTGGTGAATTTACTGATTTCAAGGGTTTGTTGGGGAGTTTGTCATTCATTCATGAGTTCAACGCCACTTGCGTTCATGCGGAGACCAGAAGGAAACACACTTTGTTATGACATGTTGATTGGAACCAAAAAAGGTTTTGCGTAAAAGCCAATCGACAGAACTACTGCAAGTGGAGAAACAACAAATACGTAAGTTTTATGCCGTTCTGGTTTAGAAATTTCCTCATGGAAGAAGAAAAGCTTGGAAGATTCACGGACTCGTGGTCGTTTCCTCGACTCGTCCCGCGTCGCAGGCAGGTGTTTCACGCATCGGCGTGATGGCCCCCACGGCAAGGGCAAGGCGCCACTACGGATGGTGGCTGCAGCAAGCTCGGGCACGTGCGTCTGCCTGCCTCTCTCACTTTCCTTCCCTCATTCGTTGTAGGAACGCAAAACACGAAAGCGCTTTAATAACTGGGGAACAGTTATACGCGTCTTTTCGAGACTTCGGCATGACCTTCAATTGGCAAACTTCCAACATGCTGGAACCATGAATCCTACATATTTTTCCCGCTACGTTCCAGCGTTTATTCGTATGTGGTCGTTCCATAATGATCGTAATTAAAGGCTGCTCCCTTCCCCGACACTTTCGGTCGGGGTTGTTCGTGAAAGGCCCAGGACGAGGCCTTTATGACTGTCGAGCCGCGTGGGGCGGTGTCATGGGTGGAGTGATGTCAGCGCAAAATAGAAGCTTCATTGGAATCGTCGGAAGTAGAAGAAACGTGTCCATAAGAAAAGTAATTCACAGGGTGACGGGGAACTGAAAATCCTCATATCGGCATGTAAAAAGTCAAACCTTCCTCCTTGCTAAGAAAAATTCCTGTAGCTTATGGGGGTACTCATCAACTTCTTCACCCGAACCATCCATTTACTGTATATAAACACAGATTTTGTAAGGAAAAAATTAAATGTGATGCAGGCAAAAGTTATTTTTGTCCGATAAATGTTAATTCCGGAAAAGAAACCTAGGCAATCTGAGCAGGGATTTTTCTTTCGAATTGGGATTTTGCCCTTCCATGGATGACTTACAAGGCGAGGCAACCTTCGTTCACAGCGAGGCGTTCATTGTCACTTTGGAATACCTTAACTCTCCACACCGTCCTCTCCACACCATCCTCTCCACTCACCTAATATTCGAGTACCGACTATCCTCTCAATTTTTCCAAAGTGACTGTACGAGTCGGCTTTGGGTTCTTTAAATCTCCCGTCTCGGGAAAGAAGCACCTATTGCTTAGGGGTCTCCATTTCCCCATGACGAGGCTTGCAAAAAGCCTTATATGCTCAGTTTTGAACCCGGTTCCCCTGTCATGGGAGTCAAGAAAGCTACCAACCGAGCCATTCCCCGGCCCCCACTCCCCTCTATGACGTCACAAGGATGGGCTTTCCTAAACTCGCCTCCCGCGCACGCCAACGAGGCGCCTATTTCCTGGAGCGTCGCCAGGCCTCTAATATATGGGAACCAAATGGATAACTGACGGACAAAACACACTGTAATTAATAACGATGCTTTTCTCGTATTTTCACCTATTCTTTCTCTACCTTCTTTGGTCCTCCGGATCACGGTGTTATCATGTTATATTAATCGCGATTCGATTAATATTTAAACACGTTATCTGTTTAATACATTAAAGCCTAAACACATACACCTGATAGATGCAAATCCATTTTGAAATTCTTCTCCAAAGGCTTTTCTGATATTCTCTTACTACTAGTGCCTGATTCGCTAAACATCAAGGGAGATTGGGTCAATCGTGACTAGTGAGCTCGGTTTGTTCGATTTTGATGAGAAACAGAAATCAACCAGATTTCAGATAAAACCAGATAAAACTTCGATGATTTTCCCATTGCCTTGAGTGAAAAATAAAGATTTTTTATGGTACAACACATCTGGGAACTTTTGGTACATATCTCTTCCAGTCGGTGTTCAGAGAGGATGCAGACATGTTGTGGATGCAGAACATGGACATTTTTCAGTGATATCCTGCCCAGGTATCAGTGAAAGGTAAGGGCCCAAAGCAAGGGATGTAATGAGGGAAATCAACAAAGCTCGAGTTTTTGTTTAGTCTCATTATCCCGTCCAGTGATTCTCACAGTCAACGATGACTTCCTCAGGTGACGACCATGTTGTTTCGCACCTCTGAAACAACCAGTCTTGAAGGGTCGAGTCACGATAGGAATAAATCTTCAATGGCAGAAAACGAGTCTCAAAAAAGAGAGTCTCCTCGGAATGTGATATATCTTAATCGTAGGTGTTGGAACTTGACTCAAAAAGCTTCTTGCTGAGTGGAACGATCTTTCTCTACTTTAATGACTAGAGTGTCGCGACTATATTTTTATTAGCAAGCGCTGCAATCCCCTCTCTGAACCTCCATGTAAACCATTCTTATGAAATTGACGCGATCCGATTTCACTTCGTCGCTGACGAAGACATGCCATGACGGCATGGCTATCTACCGAAAAGTAAGGTAAAACTATAAACATTCGTCGCAATGGTATTTTTTATTCATAAATGTTGCAGTCCCCTCTCTGGACCTCCTTGTAAGCTATTCTTATGAAATCGACGCGATCCGATTTCACTTTGTCGCTGACGAGGGCAAGTCATGACGGCATGGCCTTCTACCGAAAAGTAAGGTAAAACTATAAACATTCCGACAGTTAAGTCGATCGAGCTTCATTATTTGCTTGTCCTATCTCAACCGTACAAGCTAGATGCTTTTTTTTCCAAAGAGGAGGTATAAGTTCCACAAAAATGTTACCCTACCTAGCTATATGACTTCCAATATTGCCTGTAATGTGGATGTCCGAACTGAGATGGGGAAAAACTCATTTCGGACACTTTCACCTCATTTTGAAAATTCCCGTATTAAAGTCTCAATGAGACTTGAAACTATTGATTGTGGTGCAAAGGAATGATTACGCTCTCTCAAAGTATTGCATCTTTTTTCTATTTGTTTTATTATAGGACGATCATGATTGAGTGACTGACTTTAATTGTAACCATGTTCTGGTCTAGAACATGGTTAGAAAGATGAGATAGAAAAATCGAATTTGAAAAATCGAATAGAATAATTTACATGGAGCTTTCTGACAACAGGACAACGATTGTTTGGTATCCAATATCTGGGAGCGCTCAGGTTTTAGTCTCACACTTCCTCTCACGGTAGAAATCTCATAGGATATTAGCACCATGGTGTATTCTATACAACAGGGGAACAATATAGGGAGATGGGTTCAACCACTGGAGGGCACTTCGAGCAAGGATCCGATACCTTTTACATAAAGTTTTCAAGTCAAGTTGCACATTCCCAAAGCGTTTCGAGTGTCGTCGGATTATAAATTTGTTTTCCCACTTTGCGGAATTCATGAAAGAATGTTTATTTTATTATCTCCTCCAGGATAGGTTATAGCAGTCTATCTGATTTGACATACAAAAACAACACAGAATGCATTCAAGACGGTGAGTATGTGATTGGAAGCATCGTGGAATACGCGTGCGACGAGTATTATAGTCTTAAAGGATCACGACGCCGGACTTGCACTGGGGGCGGACGATGGAACGGAATAAATACATTTTGTGAGCCAGGTCAGCTACCATTCCTCGCTATTTTTTAACAGGGAGATGCGTCGACTTCAGAACATTACCATGAAGCAGATTTATCCCGGAGGTAGCTTGTGGCGCAAGAGGGCCACGGGGTTTGTTAGCAGAAGGAAAGCCATCCGCCATGGGAAAGTGGTCGTGGGTGGCTGCCATATATGACGTCACGAAGAAGCTCCTCATTTGTGGAGGGGCTCTCATTCGAGAACAATGGGTTCTGACCGCTGCTCATTGCCTCGTCGTAGACGGTACCGCACGACGTCGGGATCAGAAAGACTTCCTGGTTTATCTGGGAAAATACTATCGGAATGACTCCCTGGATGATGCATTCGTGCAAAAGAGAGAGGTCTCCAATACCTTATATTATTTTCTCACCGATATTGTTCACTGCGACAATGTGTTGATATGGTCTCTTCCCAGGTATCTACGATCATCCTTCATAGGGGCTTTAACTTATATAACTTTGACTCAAACATTGCCCTGTTGAGACTAACTGAGCCGGTGGAGTTTACTCAAAGAGTGGGGTTGATATGTCTCCCGACAAATCAATATTTTTCGGTGGCAAACCTCGAGGATGGAAATCCAGGATTGGTGAGAAACTTCGCTTCTACTGCGCCCATTCCCATATGATGTGGGTTTCTTGTTATTTGTGTCTTTTGATGGTAGGTTGCTAGTTGGGGTGAAAATGTCTCGGATGAGCTGAGTGACAATTTAATGGAGATCGAAGTTCCGGTGCTATCGAATACCAACTGTCACACGAATACCATTAAGGTCACAGGTGACCCTGACTTCACGCGAACCCTCAGCTGGAACTCTTTCTGTGCTGGATTTCATGGAAATACTTCTTCCCAAGGTATGTCCTTGAAAAGGTAAATGTTTCTTCCGGATTTGTGTTATTCTCCAAATGTCAATTCAAACCTCTAGATCGCATTGTCTCCTCAAAATGCTATTCACTTTCATTTAAACTCTTGTCTTCCATGCAAGATTCACAAATAACTAGATGGGCACGTTCAGCCAATAATTGAGCCTCATTTCATTCAAGGGGACTCTCGCTAAATGAGTCTCCTTAAGTGAAAAAAGGTCTACTCATGACATTTTTGTTCAAATAGGTGACAAAAACAAATGTTGTCACCTAATTGAACACAAATGGCATCTCCTTCCTGTCTTCGATGATAAAATATCCCATTTCCCACTAATGTGGGACAATGGGTTTTGCCAAGTTTCAGATGCATGCACTGGGGGCACCCCTTTGGGGAGGCGACGTTTTTAAAAAAGAACTTTTAGTCCTACCGAATTGGCCAGAGATTGAAGGGGGGAAACTTGATATATATGTATATATTGGGATGCTGAGTTTTAAAAAAAATTCAAACTTTGGAGGCAAATGCCCAATGGGTAAAAATTTAAGGGGATATATCACATATTTTTTTTGCTTCAGGCAAACGGATAAACATGGAAAGCTGAAACGTGAAATGGACGTACCTATTGAGAGTCTGAGTTCAGGAAAAATGTCAAGTTTTGGATACATGCCCTGGCGGCATATTTTTGGGAGGAGACGTTTTAAATAATTTTTTTTTACACTGAATTGTACAGAGACACAAATAAGAAACTTGGCACAGGAATAACTGGGGTGATGGTTAGTACAGAAAAAATTCCAAATTTGTGGTGCATACCCCTAAGGCACAGCTTTTGGCTTTGTCGCCTTTTCAAAATATATTTTTGCACCAGCAAAATGAGCAAACGGATAAGGATGAAACTTGGCATGCACGTTGTTCTCCGAGTACTGCTTTCAATAAAAGTGTTAATTTTTACCAAACCCCTTGAGCTCATATTTTTTTCTCCCAGATATACATTTTCGGAAACTTTTCTGATTCAATGAACGAAAGAACTAAAGAAAGTTGAGACTTGGAGCAGAACTACCTGTTCGATTTTCAAGTAAATATCTAATTTTTCAAATAAGACCCCTCAGGACAGATTACGAAGAGATTTGAAGTCTGGCACAATAAATGATTGGTGCAATTGATGGAAATATTGGTTCCCTCTCTCTCGGCACACATTTCGACAGGCACATACGTTTTATACGTTTTTGGCACTTTGGAAAAAAAAGTAATGAATAAATCACTAACCTGGACAATGGAACGCCGAAGGGGCGACCATAGTTTGTTTGCCCGAAGGGCAAACAAACTCGCTAGTACTGTTTAATGTCCGAGACTGGCAAAGCGTTGGCGTCTTTTTGACAATAAAAATTATTTCAAAATGAAGAAGGAAGTGAGAAAAAGGAAGGGAGAAAAAGTCCTTACTGCCTTATCTTTACTCAATGACTTTTACATTTTTGTGAAGTAATCGACTAATTTAATGAATGAAATTTGACACTCCCTCTGTTGAACTTTAACGCCACCACTCAGTGGTGAGGTCCATTGCATTTGGACGAGTGACCCGAAATGACATATCCGACTGGAAGAACTCACTCCCTGAAGAAATACGAATAAGATTTCTCTGTTCAATGTTGGCGCTTGTCTTCATTGCTAACTCCATTATCTAATTTCTCATACTTGTACTCTCCCATAGCAAATGATGAGATTAATGCATGCTATTATCGAAGCTAAATGATAGCACCTACTTTCCAAAGCAGTGGAAAAGCGAATGGAAATACAAGAAGGATTGAAAAAAAATTACCGTTACGTTCCCCCCCCCCCCTCGTATTCAAGAAAATATATTGTACTAACGAGTTTGTTTGCGATTCGGGCAAACAAACTCGCTATGGTCGCGCCTTCGGCGCTCCATAACCATGGATGTAATGAGTGATGAATTCATTCCTTTTTTTGCGAAATGGGAAACACGTTTTTAAAGGACGTCCCCATTGAAATATGTGACATATGACGACAAAAGTCTTGATTTTCATCGAAATCATTACTTCCATGATTCTATAAGTGCCTAACTTCAAATCTTTTCAAGTCTCCCTTTTTGTAAGGGTGGGTAATAAATTTTGAAATACTTCCCTCCAATAATCTACGCCAAGTAAAATATTTCAAAAGTAGGATTTTTCCTGTACTAAGCCATTAAACACATGCTTCTGAAGGAAGATTATATTTTTGATCTTTGTTTCGTTGGATCAAAAAAAAATCAGGAAAATTGGACTGAAAAAAGTGCCCGGATGGGTTTTAGCGAAATTTTTCTTTCACGTCGACTCAGGGAACTCCATGCCAACCAGTGGCACCATTATACGTTTCCCCTTTTTCTGGGGGAAAAAAAGGCATTTGGAAAAAAGAAACACCCAAAAGCTGTGTTCTGAGGAGACGCACACAAAAGTTGAATTTTTCCTTAAAGCAACATCGCGCCTGTAATGGGTGCACCAGCAAATTTTCTATTTCTGCCCGATTCGATAGGATATGAAAAATTATTTGAAAACGTAACGTCCCCAATAAATATGAACCGCAATGCTTTTTTTTTGTTGGAAGTTTGACGTTTGACATTAGACTTGTGTGTTAACGGTCACGTTTCTTGTCAAGTTTCGGCTTTCCATGTGTCTCCGTTTGAAGCAAAGATAACTATTCCAATAAAATATGTTCCTTGAATGGTTTGCCCCTATGGCATGCCTGACCGAAGTAAAAATTTTCCTGAACTCAGCATGTGAAGCTACTTATGACCGTCAGTCAGCTACTCACGATCGTCCAAATATAGTAAAAGAAGACTTTCTTCTCTACTCAACTATCCATCAGGTATTTATTTGTCAAGTTTAAACTATCTAGCGCCCTCTGTTTTTCTGGATCAGAAAATTCGGGGGAAAACGCCTTTTGTTGAATATATGTGTCCTGAGGAGTTTTAGTGGAAAAGTGCCATTTTTTTTTACCGAAATCAATACTCAAAGAAATACATGCCTGCAAAAGTTTCAACCTTATACGTTTGCCCATTTCGCTGGTGTAAAAAAATATATAGAAAAGCCGACCCACCCAAAAGCTATGCGGAGGCAATGCACCATGATAGCTGAATACTCCCTCAACACATTATGTCACTTATTCGTGTACCAATTTTCACATTTCCATTTCTGTCTAATTCGCAGGGACAATTTTTTTTTAAACATCGCACATCGAAAAAATTCCCTAGGGGATGTATCTAGATTGAACATTTTTATTTAACTTCTTTGTCTTATTAGTCACATTCATGGGAATTTTAATTTTCCATGTTCACCATTTTCACGAAAAAAATCTTGAGAATGCTGGCACCAAAAAACATCCACCCAGGGCATGGATCTGAAATTTTGCATTTTTCATGAACTCATCGTTTCAGTAGGCGCCTCCGTGCCAGGTTTCAGTATTCCATGTCTCTCCGTTTTGCTCAAGCAAAAATAATGTTATGGTGGGGGAATGAGTAACGGGACATGGATGACAAAAAAAGGCCAAAGAATGGCCGGGAATCGAATCCACCCCTTCTGATTGCCAATCCGATATGCGGCTACGACACCACCGAATCCCGCACATACAGTTACCTCTCTGAATGCCATCCTCAGCTGTCACAAAATATACACGTTTCCCCAAAAATTTGTGCCCCCAGGGCACATACCTCCAAAGTGGAATTTTTTCTGAACTCTGCATCCCAAAAGGTACACGTGCACCAATTTTCAGATTTCTAACCTTTCTAGAACATGGTTAGAATTAGCGTCAGTCAGTCAGTCAGTCACGATCGACTATATATATTAGATATTAACATGTTTATTTGTATATCTACTAATTAAAATTTCCTAGATAATTGGTGACATCTTTGACTAGAGCAAATAAAATGTCTATCCACATTTTTTGTATGAACTGAATATATTCACGGATATGGAGATTGTGGAGAGCTCAAGCACTGAATCACATAATATCTTGAAAGTGGTGTACCAGTAGAAACAGAAATTGCACAAGGGCCTTACGGGGACCAACCACAGTTGCCACCTGGAGCGCCACTGAGGCATAATTTGTACGAGGTATATTGCCTATACATTGGGGGATATAAATAGGACTGTCGATGGCAGGTCAGTTAAGCTAATGATCAGTAAGTTGATCGTTGGAAGCGAATTTTACTACACCAAAGGACGCAATTATCCGGTTAATTGGGAGCATACCATATGAGACGCGCGTTGTGGGTGCTGTGTTTGTTGTCAGACGGATTAAATGCATTATGGACAGTGAAGAAGCACATGTTGAAATAGTGCTGTGATTCATTAGATATTAAGTCAGGCAATTTTGATTACGACGATTGACATCTATGGTTCCTTTGAAAGCATTGTCACCATAACACACGTTTCCAATTTCAGTCTCCTTTGACCTGCTGTTTCTAAAATATTATGCACACATGCAAAAGTCAATCCTGTAATCCCAGTGCGCTTTTAAAACATTGAGCAACAATGTTGAGCCGACTGGGTCACGTCGAAGTAGAGATTCCAATCACCTGTAGGAAAGAGAATCGCAAACATAAGTTTATTTCAAAAGTTATAAATTCTCGACGTAAATATCAAGATTGATTAAATTCGTCAAACAGATTTCCAAGCTGCATGTCCTGGAGTTTCAGGCAGTCCCATGGTCTTCTATACCCAAGCCTTGAATCAGTGGCAGATCGAAGGAATCGTTAGTCACTTTATCAACAAGAGACCTTGCTCCATGAGGCGCCCAGGCCCATATACCATTTTCACCAAAGTCAATCGGTCAGGTCGAATTTCATTTTTTCATCTTTTTCCTTCTATTCGTCCATGGCTTTTCTTGCCGTAGTGAATTATCTACTTAAACTCGTTCAACTCTCTCTATTATATCCTTTCAGGTTCATAGAGTGGATCAATACGAAAATTGAGGAAACACCTACATTCACTCCTACTCCTACTACTCCACCTACTCCACATGTGCCACCATGCCCATCCAGCCATACGTGCCTTCTTCGCTCATATGTAATCCTTTGCGATCCAGGGACTGAAATATCAAACGCATCGTGCCCAGGAAATAAAGTGTGTTGTAGAGTCACAACCGTCTCACCGACGTTCCAACCATCAGAATCCGAAGGTGACTTCCCTAATTGCATTATTTCAATTGGTCTCTGTATGGGTTCCGAACTTTCAGTGATATTCCAAGCGAAGTGTTGAATGAATTTTCGGACGTTTTTTCAATGCTCTGCATACCTTCGTTCTTGTTATCTAAAACAAGAAAACATATACTGGGGTACAACGGAGGGACCCAGAGTCATAGATAGGGAGCATTGGGACAACTCTGTCCGAGCCTCCATGGCATCGAATTGTAGGATTCGATTTGTGGGTTCCACTGACGCCATTTTTACTCCAACACTTTGCTTTGCTGGCCACAAATGCAATCGAGCAATTGAGCAAAGTTCAACATAACCTTCTTAGCTTTGGAAACGAACAAGAAAAATATAGTTGATGAGGGAGGTGGCACGACTAGATGGTCCAAAGAATGTTGTAAAATTTCAGTTGAAATAACAGAATGAACCGAAATCTGGGAAGACATTGGCTTAATTCATTTTAGTGCTTTCATACACCTTGTCTTGTAATTAAGTTGCACTTTCATTAAGCATATTCTCGTTCCTCGTAAATTTGTAGCGTTCAGTTTACTCACCCCCGTTCCACTGGACTAAAAATGGCAAACTCCTATTGAACTCCTATATATACCGGCTCAATATGCGAGGAATATGAGGGTGAAACCATATCAATAGTTTAGTAGGGGAAAGTTTGCGGGATGGAGAGGGAATTTAAATTTTATTTTTTATCATTAAATATTTAAAGGAAGAGCGTTTATAGATTCGAACTTGTCGATTGCGTCACCGTTGAGGTTGAGGCTGGTGGTAACGTCACTTCGATTGGCGGATTCCTCCGGTTTCTGATGATAATACTTTCATACTTTGCTGCTGCATGAAACCGTCAGTAATGAGACTTTTTCAGTATTTAATGAAAATGTATTTGATGCGCTGCAATGCATGGAAGGGGGGAGTGGGTTTACTCATGACAGTGTCGATGTAGTAGATATTCAACTTCTCCAGTCAAGGACGATACGAAAATTACTCGTGATTTCCGGGAGCGGCTACATCGAATTTGCAAGTAAGAAATGTTTGATCAGATTGCATTTTCGCGCGCAGATGTGAACGAATGCGAGGAGGCGAACCTGTGCGGGGCCCACGCGCAGTGCGTGAGCCAGCCGGGCTCGTATGCCTGCAAGTGCGAGACGGGATTCTTCGGGGACCCGCCCAATCACCTGTGCAAAGGCAAGCCTTTTTTCCATCACTTTTTTCGCTCAGTAACTCCCGTAGTAGCCCGCTTCTGCCACGCTCGCAGGGTCACACGCTCATACGGTCACACGCGTTGGCTGTCGTAGATGTAGATGAGTGCCTGAATCTGCCGCATCCGTGTGATGCGTCACAGGGATGCGGCGGTTGCGGGATGCTTCAATACCCCTGACGGCGTCTACAGTGAATGCCGAAAACCCTTTTGTCGGGGACACTACCGTCACTTGCATGTGTAACTCCAAGCCAAATCAGCCTAACAACGCCTTGCCCACTTCAACCCTTTCGATTCTCTTGTCTGATCCGGAATGCACTATGACCCTATCTCTAACCTAAAGCCAAACTTGGATTACAGCAGCTACTGTAGAAGGAAATGCAACATGAACGTTAAACTAAAATAGGAAACTTGATGGGAACATTCATTACCAGCTACTTCATTGTCAATGTATATGAATAACGGAAGCTAAGATGACTTCAAACTTTCATACTTTTTTCATTAGCCAAATGCGTCATAATTATTTCTTTTTTTTTATACTGAAGAGACCTCCCTTATTACATTCTTTCAGATTGTCGATGTATGGGTTCCCAACTTTCCGTGACATACTAAACTAGGGGTCGAACGAATTTCCGAACTTTTTCCCGATACTGTAGATACTTTCGTTCTTTTTATTTAAAACAAGAAACTTTAAAATGTGCTCCAATGGAGGCACCCATAGTCCTGGAGAGAGAAAGCATTAGGACAACTCCTTCGGAGCATTAGTGGCATGGAATTCGAGGATTCGATTCATGGGTTCCACAGACGCCATTTTTACCCCACCGCTTTACTGTCCTGCCGCCAGATGCAATTGAGTATTTGAGCACACTTTAATATAGCTTTCCTAGTTTTGGGCATGAAGAAGAAAAATATAATTGATAAGGGAGGTGGCGCAGCAAAGTTGGAAAATTTCAGAAATATTATTATTATGGCAAGCATGTTGTAGAAGTTCAGCTGAAATGATGGAACGAAGCGAAACCTGTGAATATATTTGCTTAATTCATTTTAGTGATTTTATACAACATGGCTTGTAATTTCATGCTAAGTAGACACGTCTAAAACATTTGGAGGCCGATAAGTGGATGCCATTCTCTTACACTATAATTCCTCAACCAATCTTATGAGTTCAGTTTTCTTCCGATCGCTTCACTGGAGTCCAAAAGGCAAATACCTATTGATCAAAGTTCATGCTGATGTCCATAAGTATGATGCTGTAATGTTACATCTTCTTCGTCCTTGTTTTTCTCTCCCGCCAGGATTTCAACTTCTGTATCTCGGCCATTTTCTATATGAAGTGATAAACACTCAAATCTCTGTTATTGCAGGGTTATTGCAGCAGCAGTTGCGTTATTATTGGCCCGCAGGTACTCCTGGTAGTGGGTCTCGCCCTCTATGAAAAAGCAAGGTGTATATTCCTTCCTTAAAACCTCGAGGCATGCTGCGCCTAGCGTCGTTGGCATCGATGAAGAGGCTCACCAGAACAACGAAGACTAAACCAGAAGGGCATAAATAAATCTAACTCCAACACAGTGCGCAATGATGAAAAGGTCAGAGCACAGCTAGTAGACGCAACGACCTGGGCTTGGCGTTTCACATCCCGGCTCCACAATGCCCACGGAGAGGGTAACCATTATATCAGCATGTTATAATACACTCACACCTTAACTCTCTCAGCTGAAACATATATAACTGTTACATATGAATACATAATTTTCATGTGATACATATCTTACAACATTCTTCGAGTATCCTGTGCAAAGCTCAAAATCATACCACATTCAATGCCTTGGTGTTCGAAATTTCAACTACGAGCCTCACTTGAATGCAAGAACTTGCTGGGAATTTGCATACTTCCAGTTGAGGGTTTCCCGATGATTTAACACATCTCCTATTTTTGATCCACAGCGTGGATCTTTGAAACTCGAACGTTATTCCATTACTAATTGTATTTTCTCTCATTGGTAATTATTAATAAAAATTAACTCTGAGTTCTTCGTATCTGTTGACATTTTCTTACCCGTGATGCGGATCTCGCGGGGCGAGGTTGCGGTCTGGTCTTTCATACTTCGTTGAATGAATATTAAGACATACGAAACATGACGATTTTTGCAATGTTGCTCTCTGTGTAATAGCGCTTACTATGTGATAAGAAGTCATTCATATCCGATCAGATTAATATGGGTACTCGTATATATATGGAATTGGAAAGTGTTTCACCACGCACGTTGGCTTGAGGTCATGCTTCTTTTATAAAAGTTGGAATTGTATTTTCCTATTCATAAAAAAATTGACAATTTACCACTAAACCCCGCTAACTTGATCATTTTCTTCTGAGCTACAAAATATCAAGGTGCCATGAGTTTTCACTATAATCAAATATCTGACAATTCAGTCCTAAAATTTTCTGAGCCATAAAGAAAATAGATACACTTCACGGATGATTTGGCGCATGCATAACATGCCATTTATTCACAGCCATTGTCGTAAAGAAAACTGAATCCTATTGTACATATTGCAATAGAGAGGGCACAACTACCAAACGAAAATGTTGATTGGTCACATGTCCTGGAGTCGTTCAACTCCTAATAAAAACATAGGAAATCATGAAGAAAAAACCACACAGATACAATTCATCAAAACAACATGAAAAATCAAATAAGATTTATAAGTCAAACTCAGTGGATGCATTCATCACAGTTACGTTCATAACAGCACCTCTTCCATCCTTTTTACGCCAACAGGCGGAGCTATCGGATGCGGACAACTCACCGCCGTCCAAAATGGATTCTTTACTTTCGAGTCTTGTGGCACCCCATCTAAAGAGATTGCTGAAAGAAGCAATACAAGTTGCATTCAAGATGAAACATATCCATTGTCGAGCATCGTTAGATACAGATGCGAGAGATATTATGAATTGCAGGGACCGGAATTCAGAAGATGTGAGGATGATGGAGAATGGACCAGACCCACCCCGTTTTGTAAGCCAGGTCGGTTTCCTTTGCTACAATATTACCTGTTACCTCTGCTATTTCCGGATGGCGCTATGTGTACCGTTCCATTCGCAGTATGCGGGAAAAAAGAAAGTCAAATTCAGCTATCAGCTGGAGGAAATGCGTCTGAAATCGGAGAATGGCCATGGCAAGCGGCCATTTATGACATCAAGAAGGGAGATGTTGTTTGTGGAGGGGCTCTCATTAGGGAAGAATGGGTGCTAACAGCTGCCCATTGTGTCGTTGTAGAGGGTTCCCTCAGAACTCGAAAATCTGAAGAAATTCTTGTCCACCTTGGGAAGTATTACCGATCTTTTATCAAGAAAGATGAACACGTGCAGATCAGACCAGTTCAGTAACCTTCTAACATTTTCGAACTTAATTCTATTCTATTCTGATGATGTGAACTGTCGCCATCTCCTTGCAGGTGTCTAAAATAATCTTGCACAGGGACTTCAACGTGCATAATAACTACGACTCGGATATAGCCTTATTGAAACTAGGAAGACCTGCTGTTCTAACGGCTCGAGTTCAGTTGGTATGTCTCCCGAATCGATTTGATTTCTCTGAGGCGAACCTCGACAGTGGAGTGCCAGGATGGGTAAGACACCAATTATATCAATTTCTCTACCTAAAATTTTACCTTCAGCGTTCTTGTTGCATGTTTTCTTCTTCGATTGTGTAATGATGCAGGTGGCCGGTTGGGGTTATGATGGTTCTGATGAACTCGCAGCTGTCCTGACGGAGGTTCAACTTCCAGTGGTATCCAATCGCAAATGTGTTTTGGACACCCGCAATTTCACGGGGGACCCCGACATCACTCGTACCCTTACCTCAAATATGTTTTGCGCTGGTTTTGCTGGGGATACTCCTATTGAAGGTATGGTCTCGTAATCAGAGGTTGCGTCAAATTCGCGTGATTACATTTTGAGCTTCTCAATTCAGCTCTTACCAATTCCCCACGCACGCCTCGTGCTTCGTGAAACTTCTTAAATGTTACTCGACACGCGTGTGGACATGCTTCTGCACATATGCGTCCGACTACCTGCACCGGCATTGAAGCCAAGGGTGCATGACGCGTAAATTGTGAATTGTCTTTTGATTCTCATGAACTAATTCCGAGAGTGAAGTTGAAGATCTCTGCCCAGGGTGGAACTAATTCCGCATTCGGATTAGGTCCTTTTTTCATATATTGGTGATGCAAAAGATCTTGAAATATGCTACCTTTCTTTGGGAGATATTGAGGGCAAGAAGTATTGAAAGCCCTTCTGTCTATGAATTTGTACGTATTTTTTATCATTTGAGCTCTCTGCACGTTGCTTTGAAAGATTTGCATTCCTAGTGAAGTGTTATGACTCCGTTTCATTCATGTCAAGCGTGTGACATTTTTGCTTCCTATCTGCATTTTAATGCCTCAAAAATTAGCAACCGTGGCGGGAGACCGCCACATCCGCACCCGTTTTCCGCACATCCGCACCGAATTAGAATTGCCTTCTAGAGAGAAAAGACAATTTGGGGGGGGAAAGCGGCGACGCGCCAGGACTCTCAGGAGGGGGGAGTCGAAAGCGGAGCCTTTGATATAAAAAAAAAGAAAAAAGAAAAAGAGAGAAGCGTCCAAGGGACAAGAAAAAAGACAAGGTGCCTCACAAAAAGGGCACTCTTTCCAACTCGCATTTTAGGCGTGATGCTTTCAAGGATATTTTTTCTGGTTGCATATAATGGAAAGGAGAAAGACAGATAAAAAATGCTTTTTTTTCCGAAGGTCAATTTTTCGTAAACGAAATTCAATCAATTTGTCTTAAGTCATCCGTTAATATATTTCAACTCTGAAAATAAGCATTTTGCAGCTGTCTTTCTTCTTTTCATTATATGCAACTAGAAGAAATATCCATGAAAGCATCGCACCAATAATGCGAGTTGAAAAGAGGGCCCTTTTTTGGGCCACCCTTTAGAAATAGGCGCCTGTTGAAGTCGCGTCGGTCTCCTGCTTCTCCTGCTACTCACTTATACACAGACACACACAATCACTCGCACGCACAAGTGGATGTGAGTCGGGAGGGAGGTCCAAGAAAGAAGAGCCGCGCGCGAGGATTCAAGATTTCATGCAAATCGGTAATTAAAACCCCGCGTTCTCTATCACATGGGAGAAAGTAATCAATCTTGGTGTCATTTGATTCCTGAAACATATCTCTATGCGATAGGAGCAAAAAAATCCGGTATTTGAGACCGATGAACCAAGGAAATCGACCCGGTAGGACAGAAATGGCTTCAATTTTAAAATGGGCCACAGCAAAAAACGATAGGCTCCGAGGATAGCGAACGGATTCCCATGAAAATCCACACGAAGCTTCTTGAGAGACTTCTTAAGAGATCTATCAGATGAATTTTTGAATTTCCGCTTCGTTTTCGAGCAATGTCCGTCAA